TAGATATATATTAGATAGAGATAGATAGATAGATATATATATAGATAGATAGATATATATATATATAGATATAGATATATATATATATATAGATATATGTATGTGTGTATATATGTATGTATAGAATTCATTTAATGACCATTGCATTAACAATATACATACATCAATCGATTATTTTTCTTAGTTTGAGTTAAACTGATATAACTACAGCCAGGCCCACTGACTCTCTTTCACTCTCAGAATGCACCTTGCACTGATGTAGCTACAAGCTGCTGCTCTTGTAGATCAGTGTGAGCGCAAATGAAATAATTATAATAAATAATAACCGCTGTGCCAGCAGTGCATTTCTCTTTGCAGCTCAACTCTCTCTCTTAACTCCCATGTTACTTATAGTGAAGTCAGGGCTTGAAAATATAATTATGTTTGAAAAATGTGCTTTGGAAATCTTCACTTTCCTCTTAGACCTCAGGCTAGCAAGTGTTGGCTGACAAATTGAGTTTTACTTCAAATGCACACATTGTGAACAGCAACACAGCATACAAAGAACATGGGTTATACTGTTGAAGCATACAGAACAATAGGAGTTTCATTATGTCTGACCCTTAATTTGTATGTCATCATTCAGTTATGTAGGACAGAAAACTACAGCTTCTTCTTTTTTTATGGGTCTTAACCACCAAGAATGTTTGTTAGAATGTCACCTTTGGGCACACAATCTGTGAAACTATGTCTGTGTGGATTTGGGCTTTTGTGTTATGGCCAATTATTCTGTGATGAATGCAGAATGACACAATTAATCGTTTGAGGACTGTTTGGTGCCGCTGTATCAAGGTGTGATGAAAGCGACTGCCGCGGTCTGCTGAGGCCCAACGTGGTGTTTTTCGGAGAAACTCTGGACTCTCACATCCTGACCAAGGTGGAAAAAGAGATGGAAATCTGTGATCTCTGTCTGGTGGTGCGTTATCCTCATGTTTACATTTGTTCACGTCATATTCTCCCCTTGTGTAATGTTATTATGTAAAACAAATATTTGTTCGACTCGCTCAAGGACTGGACCTGAAATACAGTGCTGTACAGTAGATTTCAAGCTGATGGTGGTGTCATTGCTCTCTGTTGTTAACCTATAGGTGGGCACATCTTCAATCGTTTACCCAGCAGCCATGTTTGGCCCTCAGATTGCGTCCAGGGGCATTCCAGTGGCGGAATTCAATACACAAACAACACCAAAAACGGAGTACTTCACGTAAGTCAGTCAACAAACCCGAGTGCATGTTGTAAAAGATGAAACTATACCACCTATCTGGTTCCATATTGTATACAAGTTAACTTAAAAATAATAGGAGTTAAAGGTCAAACCAAACCAGTGGGTAATGATGCACGTGGATATTGCTATTTAGTGCCACCCGCTGGCTGAATAGGCAACATTCAGGCCTCTTTCCCAATATTTGTTACCTTTAAACAGTTGCTCACTCCAAGGCACTTTCAACTCAATAAATGACCTTTCACCTGTTATCCTAAAATTCTGACTTCCATGTGTTTTTCTGTGTGTGTGATGTGGCACAGGCACCATTTCCAGGGTCCATGTGGAACTACGCTGCCTCCAGCTTTGGCGCGACATGAGTCAGAGGTTATTTAAGAGTCACAGAAATGGCTTTACAGACAGCAACCAGTGGCTTTTTCTACAGACTATCCAAGGCTGGGCAGGGGGAGTTGTAGCTTTTTTTTATTCCAAAGGTTTGCCTTTAAATCACTTTAGCTGTAAAAGCTTGGTAGAAGGAAAGATGTACAGAATGTAGCTTTTTAAGACAAATCTCTTAATACTTGAATATATAGCTCACTAAACTGGAAATGGGATATTGTATGTTTTACATATTGTTTGCTTAGAGTTAGGCAGGAACTATGTTTGGTATGAGAAAGCAAATGCACTATGTATGTAGTTATTTGCATAGGAAAATATATTCTCAGATATCAGAGGGTATTTTTATTCTTTATATTTCTTGCATAATAAATACTGGTGAGGGATTGTCATATTTTAGATATACTGTGCTCTAAAATCATGCTGTAGACCAGAACATACTACTTCTGGTGCCAGTGGAGAGTATTCCTTTTTTCTCTTTCCACCGGATGAACAGATGTACAGAGCGTAACATAATCTTGTGCCTTTCAAAACTGTTTACACAACCTTGACCAAATGCTCGCTTTAAACCTCAAGTGCAAATCAACCAATGTTACAGAGATTTAGCAAAGTGTACAGAGTTTGCTTTTGACCAAGGACAGAGAGGGTAGAGAGAGGGGAAATCTTTTCCATCCTAGCCTGAATCAGCGTTATTTCACTCTTATGTGTTTGTTATGACATAAGTATAGTTATATGTCATGGATTATTCATGATACATTTTTACAAATTGCAATGTGTTTTCAATACATACATATATATATATTTAACCACTGTAGATGAAAATTGTCTAAATATGAAATCATATATGGAACATGATTATCCTTTTTTTTAAAACAACTTGTTTGCCCATGAACATTGATTTGTTATGATGTATTCTATTAAAACTGCCAATGCAATTAAACGGATCATAATAAATAAAACACTAAATGTACATTTGCTGTTTTGTGTGTTATTGTCTGCTTTGAAAAAGCCATCCAGGCTTTTCATGAGAGGAAGCACTGTACTGTGTTTGCCCAAACTGAACAGTAGATGCCAGCATGTAGCTTTCTATCCCAGCTGTAGATTATACAGTAAAATATAACTCCTCTCTGAAAAGGGCACAGAAAACAACCTTGTGTTTACAGTGATGCTTCTCTTAGTATGCATGAGTGAGAGGAAACGCAGACTTAAGTACCCTAAGGGCCATCAGTGAACTGAGCTCAGGAAACATTATCAGCCTTGATCATAAAGCTGCTGAAAATGACGGTTTGAAGTGGAGAGCAGTTTATGATGCAAGGTGGCATCTGTTGTCCCAGCTGATCTCTTACAGAGGAGATCTGGTTAAATAGTATTTTGTGGTATTAATTGTTTTTTGTGGTCTAAATTTGTCATTTTAAATGATGCTTGAGTACAAAAACACCCATCATGGGTCGGGTTTTATTCATGCTTCTTTTTAGATTGTGGCCTAGTGTAGTGTTTCCTAACCCTTTTGCCTCGTTACTGCTTAAACCACTGGTCACCAGTTACATACTAGCTGTGATGTGTGTAATCAAAAAAGACTTGCTTCTAGTGGTACAAGGGGAAATCTGAAATATCTTTTAAAAGATGAAATCAATTAATTTAAACTCATATAAAATTATCAAAATACTACAAATTCGTTGAAATGTAATTTAGAATAGGTTTTGCATTTCACAAAACATTTAGTTTCAGTATCAGCCGGTGTGATGGCAAGATAGTATGCAGATGTGAAATGAATGGTTCAAAAACACTGAAGTCGTGGCTCCAAACAGTAACTACTGGGAAGTGTGAACCAGGAGTACTCCTTTTCCACAAATTAGCTTTGGTTCTTCAACCAGTTCTGTTCAGGATTTTGCAACAGTCGACAATAAATATCTTCTTAATAGGAACAAACTTGTCTCCTCTGTGAACTGTATGAAGCTGAACAGAGCCGGCCTATGCGTCTGTACTTGAATAATAGTCATAATAGTGGAGGTGCTACACAATGTAAAAAGTTTGGAAAACACTGTATTAGAATATTTCTTAGAGTCCGAAAGAAACAATAACTGACAAGGAAAAAGGCAACGATTACAGGACAAAATGTGTTTTTTTATGTGTTGTTTCTTGTCCTCTTAATCATCTTGCGACCCCTCAGATTTATCTTGCACATGGGGGTCCAAGCCCCCAAGTATGGAAACACTGACCTAGTGCATCCTAGAGGCAAAAAGCTCTAAAAGTCTTTGTCTTCATTGGCTGACTGGACTAACATAGTTAAGTCATTCAGTGGAAATGAGAAAGACAGAGGGCTAGGAGTCATTCAAATTAGCTGTGGAAGGGTATGTTCATTAGACAGTGTTATGATAATGTAATGATAGTCATAAAGGAATTATCTCAAGAGAGCTAGGGAGTGTATGTGTGTGAGAGGTAGGGAGAATACTACAGGCACACGCACACACAAAAACACACACAGAGGTATGTAATCCATCTATCTCAGGGGAGTCACTCAGGGTTGGTTCATTTTATGCCCACTGTAGTTTAGGCACCAGAAACACACAGTTGTGACATTGGTGAAAAAGGATTCCCGGCACTATTTCCTCTCAAGTATTATTCTGTATCCACTGTGGCGCCTCACCACTTGCTTTCTTTGCTCAACAATTAGCATCCAAATCAAATCATTCCGTCTGCCATAAAGTATCTCAACCTGTTAATGTATATCATCATCATCATTGCCATGATTGGATTTCCTCATTTCCCCCTCTATTACCACCGCTTCCCTTCAAGGAGAGGATAGGCCAAGTCCCATTTGTCATCAGAAGAAAAAGTACATGGAGAGGCACTTAAGAGAAATCTCAGCCGTCTGACACAGTCATTTCTGGAGCTGATGTGAACAAGGCTGCTAGAGAGCTGACAAGTCTGCTCCCAAGTCGTGCACATCATTCATGAATGTAGTAGGGAGGGATGAAATAGTAGAAGTGGAAAGGTTATTGTCTGACCCAAAAGCTTTTTCGGGTTAATAGACTCATCATTATTGGTGGCAGCTCAACAAATATCCCTTTGTCTCTTGATTGAGGAGGTAGATTTACCGGGAGATGGCATCTGTGTGTGGTTTAAATGCGAGTGTCTGTGTGTGTGATTGACTCCGTGACTTATTTGCTGGAGTCTCTGAGAGTGAGAGCTGAGAGTGGCGTATGATGGCCAGCTGGATGAGTGTTCATATATGTGTGTGTGTGTATTTGCACCAGGGGGAAGAATGTGTCTGTGTGTGTATGTATACATGTTCTTGCACCAGGGGGAAGGATGTGTCTGTCTGTGTGTTCCTGCTGTATGTGTGTGCTGGTGTGATTTTTCTGTCTGTATGCAGACCGGCAGAAGTGTCAGACCAAACCAGGTCAGGCTGGGTGAGGAGCCGTGAACATTACACAGATACACATACTGTAGCTTTACAGTTACACAGAGCTTGTCGACGTCCATTAGGCATGGCATGGCTCATTCTGCCATTTCAGGAGTACAGTATCTGTGTTTTGAAACAGGAGTCTCGTTCAGATGTTACATAACTATTTGAAAGTGTGAAAGTAATGACCTGAGCAAGTCTAAAAGAAATTGCTACATTTTAAAGGATAACACCTTGCGTACAAAGCTAAAAGGATCAGTGGCATTGTAGCCAGATTTTTAAAGAAAATAGTTGCTCTGTCATTACATCTTATATTACCCATATTTTAAATTTGTTTATTTGCATTAGTCGATCATTAAATGTTATGGGATAAATTGGAGACTGTTGGGCGTGATAGCTTATAGTTTGTTGGTGTAAATCATAATAAGTAATTCAATTAAATTTATTTGGCACAAAATCATAACTGTCGTACTCCCTATAAAGTTATTTATAACACCTAACAATTCTCACCATGAGCAAGTGAAGAAAAACTTAATTTTAAGTCTGAAGATACAGATTTAATGGCACACGTGGTGTTCCATAGGTATCATTCCTAGGACTGTTATTCTTCCTAACATATATGAATGACTGTGTCATGTCATGCAGTACATGAATAGTGAACTACATTTTTGTAAGATCAAATGATCCAAATGGTTTATTTTACTCAAAAAGTGAATTTGCTCAAACCAGATTTCTTAATATCACCTGCAATAGGGTCACAATGAAAGGCCACACCTTACTAAAGTACTTAGGTGGGTGAAATGTTTCAGAGAAAAAGTTTGTTAATGTTAGTTGCATGAACATGTTATGTATAACTATAATGTAAATTCTAATCGTTCTCAGCAAAAACAATCCCCCTTACAAATTGTACATTTTTAATTTCTATTTAATCCATTTAAGTGTAGGGCATTTAAATCATTAAAATAGTTAAACATTGTTAGCAGGGTTAAGTATAGCAGCAAGTCATGTGTACAGTGTCTGTTTTATTGATAGTTGGTTTATCAAGTTGCTTATCAAACCATAAAGATGCGTCAGGGGCGCTTCGATCGATTGATGTTCTTCCAAAATAAACTGCATTTTAAAATAAACACAAACAATATGTAATTTGGCTGCATGGTTAATAGGAGAACAGAATGCAGAGGCTTATGAAGGCCTAGGTATTTTCTATTTATAGCAACTGTCAATTCACAACACTGGAGTAGGGACTGGGGCTTGTCTCACATGCATATAAACGCATGCACAGTCACAGCACACGCACACACACAGACACGCACACACACACACAGAGTGCTGGGAACCCATACTAATCTCCCCGTGGTCTGCTCTTCCTAACCTTTCCCTGAACTCTGTGTGTTTTAACAGACCTGACTGTGATAACAATGGTTTACAGTTAATCCCTCCGTTGCCATGACAACCACCATCATTTGAAAGTAGAAATAACACTAATCACCGTCCCCACACCCTTCCTTGAAAGACCCAACTGTCCCCACCTTGCAATGTCATTTTTGCTGCTTTATTTTTGGATGATGAAATCTTGATATTCCCACAATGAGATGAACAATAAACAGGATGTGAGGAAAAGATTTCATGCCCTGACTGAGGCGCCTTTCCCTCACCCACAACATATCCCTGAATTATGCTGATGCTGGTGCTTCTAGGTAGCCTGACTGAGAGGGAGCTGTTGTTGGAGAAATGCTAAGATAGGGGCTCAGGTGCAAGCTAATCTGCTCTAACCCTGCACTAATTAGTATCAAGGCCAGCGGCCACTTTTTCCCGGTTATTGATCACCGGCCCCGCCTCGCCCAGAGAAGTATTTGGCTCCTATGAGAACAGCAGCACAGGGCACACATAAGAGGAAGCTCTCCCCTCCCTGCCTGCTGAATCTTGTTTGTGGCTTTGAAATTCAATATCCAGTTCCTATTCAACACCAGGCCTTTCCAAGTGTTGTTGAGTCTCATCCGTTATTCCTCCAATCAGCCTGCTCTGTTTTTTTTTCTCCCTGTTTCTTAGATCAGTCCTCTTTAACTGACCTCATCTGACCTGCTCAATATTCATTGTATAGGTGTGTGCTAACCAGCGGGATGGGCATCTCCATCTGTCTGGGTTTTTCTGGTTCTCATTTCTGCCACTATCTCTCTCTCTCTCTATCTCTCTCTCTCTCTCTTGCTTTCTCTCTTTCTCATTTCTCTTCGCTTTAACTTGAAATAGGCTTTGCTATACTATTTCCAAAGCAATACAATAATTTCTATATAGTCATGTTGCAACCAGCTGGCAAAGAGGATTAGGGATTCTTTCAAAGAGCTTCACGGCCAATTTATTTTTAGTAATCTAAATTTACATTTTTCCAACATTAAATAATTGTTATTGAATGTTAGTGTCAAGGACAAACGGTTTCATCTTTGTCCTACTGAAAGGATATTCCAGTAGAGTCAAACATTTGGCACAGGGTGGTCTCCAAATGTCACTTGGAGGCAGATTTACAGATGTAGAAATTTGCAATGCAAGAGAATAATACAAAG